AGATTTAAATGCACTCAGGGTAGGTGATTCTGATATCACTTGGGATACAAATCTAGAGCTCTGGGGTACAGCTAGAGACGGTCCTGTCACCCACAAAATGTAGATGTTCTTGAGGACAGCTAGTAGACCAGAGTCAGATGGACAAAGGTCGCAAGGTGGGGAGTGGACAGATAATAAGCCAGATAGGTAATGAATGAGGATGAGAATTTTGAAGTTGACTCGAAACCTGATAGGAAGCCAGTGCAAGTACTTGAAGACAGGCGTATTGGAAATTGCTCAGTGTGGATTTAATTACCCCAGTGAACAGGATGTGCATTTATTAATTCTAGAAAAAAAGCCTTTCTTGATTTCTCTAGTTCCTAGTTTCTCTAGTTCCCTTTAAAATAAACTATTATTCCACAATGCAGAGTACTACATGGTACTTACACATTATATTTTGTGATTTAAAGTTGTGATTTAAAGATATTTTGTGATTTTGAAGTTATTGCAGGATGTAAGACTAGTGATGTAGGTAGGAAAAAGATAATTTGGGCAAAGTTGAGGAATACACTGATAACAAGAACACTTCCTAATAGGGCTAGGCATACTTTTGACAAAATGACAGCATATGTTATAGACTGCAGAGGAAGATGATGAAGTTAACTGACTGTATGTTTACATAGATACTGAAATGAGGATTGTATTTTAGATTTTGTGTAGTTGCTAGCATTGAACTGTGCGTTGGATGCACATGAATTGAAGGAATGGGCAAACATAGCTGATGCAAATCCACAGAGCCAGCATCTTAAGATGTTTATATTTAGAGGCAAGTTGTTTAAATAAACTAGGTATGGATACTGATGTGCAAGAGAGGTAGAAAGGCTGTCTCCTTAAGCCAGCACTATAAAATAATTTATCCTCAGTGAGATGCTGCCATTTCATATTGGGTTTCTAACACTGTGTATAGTTCCATCCACACAGTGCCTTTACTTCCATCCATTTTCTCATCTCTTTATCCAGGACAGAGGATGTGGATCCTATCCCAGTAAGCAACGGATGCAAGGCAGAATACACCCTGGACATTGTGCAAGTCCATCACAGGACAGACAAACTGACACACACACACACACACACCAGGGTCATTTTTCCCATAAGCCAATTAACCTACCAGTATGTTTTGGACTGCGAGAGGAAATCATATCACACATATGGAACCCAGGGAGAACATGCAAACTCCACACAAACAGGACGGCAGGAATTGAACCAAGGGCCTCAGTGCTGCAAGATAGCAACGCTAACGAAATTGATGGATAGCTTAGTTATCTTTCTAGTTCACAGGTTTGCAGGCATAATTTAATTTTGAAAGCCACTGAGAAATCTGGTACTATCGTTGTATTTATGAAAAAAACATCCAAAAAGCATGGTAACAACTGTGCCATCCTATTCTTTAGTTAATACATTTTATTTTTATAAACAGTATACATTGTTACCAAAAGATTTTGAATTATATTTTACCTTAGTTTTTCTTTAATTTTGTATTTAACTTTTTAATTTTCTGATAGTCAGATTTAATGCATATTTGAACAATGAAAATATATTTTTACAAGATGCAGGGAAAACAGTGCTAAATTTAATATTATTGATTACTAATAGTTTATGCTAAAACCTAACTTTCTTAAATAGATGTATTTAAAACAATGAGCTAAGTGTGACATAACATTCAGAAAAACAATCGAGAATAGTTTTGTGGTGTTTGTATAGATTAAAGTTTTCTAAAATGTATCACAAAATTAAAGACGATTAAAGTCTGTAATCTTTCCAAGTGTAATGTCATTAAAAAGTTCAATAAGTTCCTGCTTTGTCTAACGATGGGATCAAAAAATAATCTAAGTGATAAGAAACCTGTGTTTAATGATAATTAAGGGAATTCAAAGAAAATGATTTATGTTGTTTAATTTTAAACACTAAGTTATAAATGCAGATGCAATTGGTGCTATTTGCACCCCGCTCTGTAGAACGGCCATTGTGCAAGACTGAGCTTGCGCCCCCTCCCTCTCTCGGTGCCGCCTCCCCCTCTGACGGAATGGAGTGGGCAGTACACTATATTCAGAGCCTCTGATTGGGGAAAAAGACCTACTGATCTGTCTTACATCACAGGAAGAGAAAATGTGATTTTTTCTGTACGAAATGCATGTTGTGTTCATAAAATTCAAGTATTTTAATCGTTTAATTAAGAAGTAAAAACTTATAGCGTACACAAAGATTCTAAGCTGATCACGAGGAAGAAAAATCACGTTTTTCTTGCTTAAAAAGTGGTCATTAAGTATTTAAGGAACAAGTAATAGGTTTATTCCATGCTGAAAAAAAGAAGAAAGAGAATACAACGGTTCAGCCGTGGAGCCTTCTTCAGGTGTCAACACCTGAAGAAGGCTCCACGGCCGAAACGTTGTGTTCTCTTTCTTCTTTTTTTCAGCATGGAATAAACCTATTACTTGTTCCTTTGCAGCCTACGCATGCTGACGCAGCTACCCACCTGAACTATTAAGTATTTAAACCTGTTTTTATAGCTTTTAAAGTCATGCTATTTCTTAGTTAAGCAGGAACACATCATTGTATCTTTTTAATTTATTTTTTAAAAATTAAAAAAATAATTTCCCCAGCCTATCCTACAGACTCCTACATTAGACAATACCATATTCTGGTATTTTGAAAAAAAAGCATGTTTCAAACATTCTTTAATTTGTATGAACAGAGAGAGCTAACAATTATAAAATATATGCCAATATATTTGTTGTTTGTTTATTCCTAGCTTTTTTAATAACTCACCTTCTGAAGCACTTTCTGATCAAATCTGTAACCAACTGGTAATACTGCAAGGCTGTCAAAAATTTGTTATAACATCTGTAAGTGTACAGATTTGCATTTCATCTTTTCATTATAGTGGAAACCACTAAGTTTCTATCTTCGTCATATACTTACATATATACGTCACTTTCAACTGAAAGTCAAACAAGTGAAGAACCTTTGCACTTGTATACAGAGACTGGGCTAAAACGGTAAATTGTGGGATGATGGAAATTTCCAAAACTGAGATTACACTTTGCAAAATGGATTAAATAGGTCCTTAAAGAAATATAGAAAATTACAAAAAATGAGTGGAGTTTTTAGACAAATTGTGTGCATTGTATAAAATTAATAGTATGAAAACTGATTATTTTTTGTGAAAGAACAACAAATAGTAAAGATTGATAGATCAGCTTAAATCAAATCCTTATTTGCTTAACTTAGCTTGCATTAGAGACTGACTGATAAGACCAACATCAAGACAAATGAAAGATAAACAAGCTCTGTTGCAGTTCATAAAGTGTGGTAAGCAATTCACCTATAAATTACAATATACAATATTACAAGTTTATAAATTACAATATTGTGGTTAAGACAATATGTTTAGTGCTTCTTAAAACAACTAAATGGATACAGCCATAGACTTGTGACAATCACACACCTGCCCCATATGGTTGCCATCTCATCTCAACTAGAAAACTAGTTATTTAAGCATTGTGCGACAGTCCTTTTAAATATTAAGTGAATAGTATCAGTTTTAAGTTATTTTTGCCTGGTATCAGGCATGCATAAAATTTTAACAATTGCACCAAATGGACATTTCACCAAAGTAATGTTTAAAATTATTTTTTACACAACATAAAGGCTGCATACTACCTCTTTACGATTATACATACATATAACATATTATCTCCAGACTTCAATACTCATGTAGAAGATGTTCGACAAATTCCAAAAAATAGGTTCAGCAATTACAGTTATAACTCAAAAGAATGCACTAAACCAAATTTTGATTTAGTTTTTCACCTTCAGGTCAAACCAATTAACAAAAATTATCAAAATATTTTTTTTCTGCAGAAGCCAGATTTATTTCTGAGAGGTTTTCTGAGAGGTTTTAGTTTATGAAATATTGCATTGTTACCAAAGAATTTGTCATTTTTATGTTCGTAGAAGTTAATTAAGCAGGGTTGTGTAAATAATCTTTTACTTTTAAAAGAAGACCTCCATTAAACTTAGTCTGCACCATTTACTTGACTTTAAATCGGCCAGCAGCCATATCACCCTGCAACTCACACCTGGCAACCCACTGAACCTCAGCAGGTGTGAGCCTGGTCAGTACCTGGATGGGAGACCTCCTGGGAAAAACTAAGGTTGCTGCTGGAAGAGGTGTTAGTGGGGCCAGCAGGGGCGATCACCCTGCGGCTCATGTGGGTCCTAATGCCCCAGTATAGTGACTGGGACACTATACTGTAAACAGGCGCCGTCCTTCAGACGACTCTCTGTGGTCATTAAAAATCCCAGGGCGTTTCTCGAAAAGAGTAGGGGTGTAACCCCGGCGTCCTGGCCAAATTTCCCATTGGCCTTTATCAATCATGGCCTCCTAACAATCCCCCTCTATGAATTGGCTTCATTACTCTGCTCTCCTCCCCACTAATAGCTGATGTGTGGTGAGCGTTCTGGCGCACTATGGCTGCCGTCGCATCATCCAGGTGGATGCTGCACATTGGTGGTGGTGGAGGGGAGTCCCCATTACCTGTAAAGCGCTTTGAGTGGAGTGTCCAGAAAAGCGCTATATAAGTGTAAGCAATTATTAATTATTATTATTAAATGACTCCTAAAAAACTATTAATGTGTTATTCATGATTATAAAATACCTTCAACAGCGTTTTGGACTTGTTTCACTCACTATTTGAGCTATTTGAAACCCATACCTGTCTTGAGATAAATGGTTTAAAGCAAAGAAGATCACATTTCACTATCATTCTTAACTGGAGAATTGTACAAAGAAAGCATTAAATCCAAATTAAAACACAAAATCCAAATTAAAACAGCTTGCAGATAATAAGGTGTCTCATAAGTGCTCTGATAGACACACATTTTAACAGAAATCTCATTAAATACAGGCAAACAAACTCAATATTAAATATGAAGTACAAAATTTAAAGGGAAAAACATACCTCTGTCTTTATCCTTTTAGGAGAGGGCTCATCTCGGTCTCCGCATCGAGATCTGGCAGAGAAAAAATTAAACTGATTATTTTGAACACATCTCACTACATTATTTATTTTATTACTACACAGAGCAACTGCAAAGCAGTTTTGCTATATCACAGTCTAGGCTGCATTACAGGTTAATTTATTCATGATCAACAAACCTCACAGGGGTAAAATTGAAGATGTGTCTTTCCGTAATTGTGAGTTGTCTGCCACAACTACGCACAACCATTTTAAAAACACTATTTGCTCATTTTCTAACATAAAAATGTTATATACCTTACATTAGATAGAAATAATTTGAAAAGCAAGCTCAAAGTGTTCCTGCGTCAAACAGATATGCAATAACACCACATCTTCTTCTGCTTTACATAATCATTTTTTATGTCTTATTTATCTAATGTTTTAATTCAGAATTCAAAACTAATTTTCTCATTTGTTATTTCTGTAGAAGGTGATAATATGAAATTATGTATGCTATATGCTAAATATATCATATCTGGCCATATTTTCTGTTCGTACTGTTTGTATATCATTTTATTTGTTGCTCTGTTGAAAATGTTTCATAAATATGCACAAATTATTCTTTATAATTTTTAAAGTTCCAAAGTCCAAGCTTAACAACTTTCGCCTTCTAATAAATACATTTTTAACAAACTGTTTTCTAAGTAAGAAAAACTTTAATTTGAGCAGTTCATGATTACTAAAAACTAATTGTTGCACAATATTGAAAAACCCTCGATTTGTTAAGGCCTTAGATGACCACCTATACTTTTTTACTTGATATTTCTCCAATAACTTGCAATTTCATAGGCCTATTCATAATATCTTTAAAAGCATGAAATGGTTCCATTACACAATTTTTTTAATGCCTCTCCATATCTTTTGCAGTTTAGTAAAGTGTAGAAAATAAACATAGAAACATATGCATTTCTCTTATATTGCAATGTTATATATTGAAGTGTCTCATATTGCAAATCAAGTAAAATACACAGCAAATCTGTAAATACCATTAGCAAGAATTATTGTTAGCAGAGAACACTGGGCTCACAAAGCTGCAAATTCATGACACTAACATTGCAAAATACAAATGCATAGAGACAACAGTGTATATATTATTCAAATCAATAATAGTATCTAAAAATATAGTGAATACAAATACATTAATACAAAACTATAATGAATCTTAATTACATGTGATACACATCAGCATGAGATAGATGCTTACACCAATAAGGTAGTGAAATTACCTCCTCCAGCTTATAACACCTATAACACTGGAATTGCTCTTACTTGCTGGTCCTGTATGTGTACTTGTAAGTGACTTCTCGAGATATCTGGCGTGCCAATCCAAAGAGTTCATCTCTCCGTGTCAGAAGAGCATTGTCCTTCATGCACAGCTGAGCTGCAGCTTCATTCACTGTGAGCTGAAAAAAAAAATCTAAAAAGTTCAATTATTTCTGAATAATTTACACAATCACACCACAGTTCTTTAGTTAAAATGAAGCATAAACAAAACTTAACAGTGTTGTGGATATATATCATCAGAATAACACAATTATGGTTAACTGATATGGAAAAGCTCTCATACAGGAACAATTCAAATCAAGATTTTACACATTTTTATTTAGTACTACTTAAAGCTTCCATCTATTATCTAAAAGCTGTTCACTTCTAGTAAAGGTCACAGTGACCTTTTTTATTCTAAATCACCAGATTTCTAAAAAGTGACTTTTTAAAGTTGTCAAGAACTTATAGTATATCACCTATGAATATACAAGAAGGTAAAAAACACTGAAATAGAATAATAATCTTAGATATGCATATGACTCCATTCAATTTCTGTTTAAGAATTTATCTTGTAACATATACGTTAATTAACTTATTATATGCAGAGAGATATGTTTCTAAGTCTAATCCAACAAGACCTTTTTTCATCTTACATATTTTCACTACAGTGAAGTTTCAGTCTGATGCACTTATGAACATATTTTAGATTTACTTTTGTGTTCTTACCAAGTATTTTACTTGTACAGTAAAATATCCAATTTTTAGGCACACACTGCCATTGCCTGAAATGCCTTTGTGTTGCGCAAAATTGATCACATTGAGCTTATACTGATGAAACAAAAGAATTGTCTCACATCTGGAGTTCATCTGTTACACTTTAGCAGTAGCCTGATGCTATTCCACTTTGCTATACTAATCTATATGTATATGACACTCATCAAGAGCCCTGTCTTTGTACCTCATGCAGCGTCAAGTGCTTGCCATCTTTCCGCTTTGAGTCAAAGCGTCCATATATGGCACTGTATTTGCGGATCTCTTCTTCCTTGTGTGGATCCTCATCACTCATGTCGAAGATGTGCCCGATCATCTTGGCCAATTTTTTGTTGCTCTTCAGCTGCTCCTTGACCTCAGCTGGGTCACTCTTGGTGAGCCCCTGGGCCATCCTTTCCACACACTCCAGTACTGACTGCACTGCGGCAGTATCCAGAGCCTCCAACCCTTCCCTAGGAGAAGAAGGTGAGCCCAGGTCAGCTGGTGAGAGGCTCTGTTCACTTTCAGTGGCATGACTACCAGCCCAGAAACGAGGCTCACTGCCACTCTGCATAGGTGACCCAGCTGAGGCATCAGATTTGCTGGGGTCCACACATGTGGCCGCAATACATTTGGGGATTTTGACATGTGGCTCACGTGTGTTGTTGCTGTTCCTCTCATAGCTGTTGCAGAGCAAAGTAGGAGAACCTTCCGGAAGCTTGTAGATGGGGATGCTACAGACAGGCAAAGTGGTAAGAGGCTGGTTAAAGAGAGCTGGATTGGTCACCCAGTCTCTCAGTGCCTTTTGCAATCTCCGTACATGCAGGGGCTTGCTTGCCATCCCCACCAGAGCCATAATCTCCAGAAACTCCTCCTCTCCGGCCTCACACAGCTGCTGAACATCATCACCACCCTGCTGGATGAAGGCATCGTAGTAGCACAGCAGATTTGCCCTCTGCAAGATTCGGTAGAGCTGCAACTCCCCAAGGGTTCTGGGTAAAGTCGCCGCCATACCTGATTGAGATGGATTTTATGCCTAGAAAACAACACAGGGGTGATAGTGAGGAACTTGCTAGAGTACACCCTGCCCCAACCCAAGAATAAGTCTGACTGCTTAATTATCCTCAGTTCCACATACCACACTCTGCCTCTGCTATGTGTAGGACTTCACACATTACAGACTCTATTTGCTAAGCAATTTTTCCTTACATTTGCAGTTAGGAGTTCAACAGCAAATGTACAGTCAAATAATTATGGCAAAAATGGGTTTTCATGTTGTAGAGGTAAGGGATTTTTATTTTGCATAAATGTCAGATAACAAGAGTCCTAATGTCACTCCTAACCTACTAATATATCCTAACCTACTATCTATCCGTCACTAAACAACCCAAATGACCAGTCTCTCTAAATCATCTCTTGTTGCTTTTCACTCATTCAATCTTCATTTGAAATTCACAAGCCTTAACTCTTTCATGCATCTTGCACATCACCTTAATTTGCTGCTATATTAAGACTCCAAATCACACAACTTTGGCGATACAAAGAAGACTACATATTACAATGCCTTAAAATCATTGTACAGAAAAGTTTGTTCTTCTTATTTCAATAAATAATTCCATTAACAAATTTTCTGTGTCTATACAATCAACGTCTCAGGATAATGAGTTTTAATTGATAAGTAGCAAAGAAATCCGTTTTTAAGCACGATATGTACGGTGAGTACATGACATTTATTTCAACTGGTGTACAAGATTCTGACACATTTCTAGCAACATTTTCTTAAGTAAAATACTCTTCACATAAAACAGTAAACTTCACATGCAAACAGTAAACTTCATCTTAAATTCAAGAAATTCACATAGTAGACAAAATAAATGGAAATACCCAAACAATCCTGAGAAAATGCACCATACTATTAAGGAGCCAATAAAACCTTTGACCTTTAGATCCAAGTACTCAGGGATGCAGCTGTTGTTGATAAGCATTCATTCATTTGTTGAAAACATGGTGAAGGATGATTCATCTGACCGTATTACATTTCTCCACTGCTTGATAGCCCATTGCCTGTGCTCTTTGCACCACTGAATCTTGAAGTTTGTGCACTGCAACCTGACTATGGCATTACACTCTGTAGACTTCTAAGTGGACCATTTTTTCTAAAACTGGCTGCTTGCACCCGATGTTGAGATTTATAGCACATTCATCTGCAGTTGCTCACCTGTTTTGCCTTTTTCTCTGAAATAATACATAAATATCACAATTCTGGTGTATGTGCTTCTGCCCACTATTACCCCTTGCTGATGATGTCTTTCCCTCAGAGTTCCATTTTGACATCACCTTAGACATCTCTGCTTGTGAAAAATGAGCTTTAATCTTGAGCTGTCTTTGCTCATTGATGTTCCAGTCAAATTCATCTCAACAATCATCCATATTTCAAAGTCAAAAAGGTCTGCTCTTGCAGGCATACTAGCATAAGTAGCCAGACCTGTATTAACTGTCCCTCACTTACCAAGGTGTTTCCATTTTTTTGTTAGCTACCTGTAGATTCAGTAATACATTAACTGTTATTATATTAACTTAATGTAAGATTAAATTAATTGGGATTGTTTCTACCAATTAATTACTGATCAATGGAACACAAGTTGCAGGTAATGTTCACTATAGCTGACTGCAACTTTAAACTAAAACTGAAATACCTGCACAAAAATGTGCATGGATGCTTCAGCTTTAATTTGCCAATAATGACTAAGTTACATCAACTTGCTTTGTTCTTATGGAAGGAAAAGAAAAGCAATGCTAAACAGAGCATTTCTTCCTAAAGCCTGTGAAACAACCGTTGAGTTGTTTTACATGTTGCCATAATGTTTTAATAGTTTTCCAAGTTAGCAACTAGCCAAAAGCCCCTTGCTGTTAGAGGAGAAAAAAAGACATCATCCTTCTCGACATAAGCAAAAGCCTTTTTGGTTTATTTTTACATAAAACATGAAGAATCCACTCCCAGAGATAGCTTTTTTGAGAAAGGTCATTCACATCTGAAACTTTGGTGTTTAAAGAATTCTGAAAAGACTCTGTAATTTATGACATCATTCATTGCTCAGTCCAGTATGTTTAAAACAAAGCATCCAGGCAAAAGAGTTAGGAACACTGAACTTACTATACAAAGGCCTGGCATTAACTAAACCCCAGTGTGTGGTTTAAGGCCTGTAAGCTTAACTTTCACAAAACGTACAATTGTAATTGCATCACAGCTAAGCTTTCCCAATTCAATGCTAACTTCCAGAAACTAAAGATATCCTGTTGTTCATATACAGATGAAGTGTATCCACAACATATCCAGAATACAAAACTAAACATTTAGTCCCTAATTTGACTAAAGGCTATTCACAAAACAAATGTTAATTTGTTTAGAGGTGGTTTGTTATAAAACAAAAACAGTTGCAATTTAAAGAAATTAAGAGTGTTAAAAAATGTTAAAACATCTCTCTCTGTAAAAAGGCACTGGTGTACTCAGCACATCAGTAAATAAACATCCCTTGGCTTTCCAAGACACATGTCCTTATATGGCTCAAATTTTTCTCTCTTTTCCATACTTTAACACATGCTTAAGAATAAACTCTTTGCCCCTTTCAACTTCCTACTTTGAGTACAAGGATCCTACAACAGCCTAATTTTGTATTGTTAAGAGAATGTATTTTAGCACTGTTCTGGTTAAGTGTTACCACTAACAAAATTCTATATAATTATGGATTATTTAATGCCAGACAGATTCTAGAAATAGATTTGAGCCTAGGTTAAATCCCCTTTAAACAGTAATATAAAGTTAAGAATCTTTACCATATAAAGACAAACTGCATAAAACTAAAAGCTCAATGATTACAATAAAAATGATAGCTAGGAGAGAAATTACAAACATTACAGTATGTTAATTCAGATTTCTATTTAACCACCACTAAGTTACAAAAAAAGCAGTATACAGAGAGATGCATATTAAATTTTAAAACAAAGGTTAACTTTGAAATACACATTCTGAAAGTAAGCAAAGCATACCATAACACCTCTGGCAACTACATGTATAAGGGATAAAACAACGTTTTTCATTTGTGAACAATCACAAAGTATTACATAGTACTCATACTCAGTGGCACGTTATATGTACTGTTTTAAACTTTTTACAGAATAACGACTGTAAATTATGGATAATAGCTCCGTTAATAATTTGTAACCCTCTTCAATGTGTATGTCAAATGATTTGCATAGTTTGCAATATCCAGCTATATTTGGATATATATTCACATAAGTACTCATATTTATATTTTTCCAACATTTCTGTATTTGACTATTTCTAAAAATTAACAGAGCATAACACATAAGGAAAGATAAGTTGAAGGTCAATGTAAGACTAAAACAGTGCATTGCTCTGCTCAGTTACATTCCCGATGATACATTGTATTTCTATAAAATAAAAGCAGCTTTTGATAAGCTATTTGGGAAAAAAATGAAATAAAGTAAAGGTAAAACCTGCATTATTTAATGCCTTCTTTACACAGCTGCTGCTAAACGCCCACTGGAGCTTTTCCTGCGTTTTGGATTTCACTGGGATTCACCCACACAGCAACGAAATCCACCCCGTCCTTCCTGCCAATATGGGCAAGACTTTACTCTTTATTATAAGTCACAAGCACATGGACTATGCTAATGAAAAGCGCAGCCCAGGGAGTAAATAAATACGCAAGCATGATCAAAATCCGTGACAAAGCAAGCATTTTTCATTTTCGTTCTTTTGATTGCATAAACACATACCTTTTTTCCTTATATGCTGTGTTCTTACAAATCTCTTTCTTCACTATATTGCGTTTTATGGTCCAACCAGAAGTTATTACATATAGCACTATTGAGGACTGGGACGTTTCTTCCAGACGTCCTGCTGGAAGGGGAGGGTGCGTTCACCGAGCTGGAAGGTTCTGTCACAGCCAAAGCTCTGCACTCACACTTTCTCAAAACAATAGACTGTTCGCTGTCTTTGGGTTGCCCTTAACACTGAGTACGTAAATATGACTGTTTAGAGTTTTAGTACTTAGGGCCTGGGAGCTGTTGGTTTCCCCCTCCTCCCCTACTGCTAGAATTGGGATATTCCGCTCTTGCTACATTGCTCTCTCACTCCCACGCGGCTGCGTGACGCAGATCCTGGTGTGGGTGGTAGCAGAGCGTGGGTGGCTGCTGCATGGAATACCAAGCATCACATCACACCAACAGCGGTGGCAGACAGGGAGTCGAGCTCAAGCGTGCCCTCACTGACTCTCACTTACACACGTTAATGAAAATGAAAAAATATTTACCTGGCTTAAAATACATTCATGTACCCCTAAAAAACCGCAAGAACCCCAGGACCCCTGTGTAACTTGAAAGCAGGCAGACTAATGTGACTAGGCTATAATGTAACTAATCGCCGCCTGCACCTGTAGTGTAATTTTGACAGCAAGCCCACAACTGGTTTAGTATGCACTTAGTATACCTAATATGCACTTCTGTTTTGTAACAATTGTGTTTTGCAGTGTCGTTAAGAAATATCTCGTACCGCTCTAAAGGATTTGGACTTTTGTTTTGTGATACGTATCATGTTACAAAAGACGACAAAAAGTTACGTGTAGTTAATTCCCCACGCATGCACCACCCACGAAGTTTAAACTACTCAAATTATAGGCACATTTAATTCTTGTTATTGTCGATTGTTCTCCAAACTATAAGAAGTATCTCAATATTTAAAACTATTGTTACAATAATTTTTAATAGCCCTTTTAAACGAATCGATTTATATGCTCGAGTTATAAAGACCTAAACAAGTGATGAATAGTTAATTTTGAATAAAGTGAAGCAGGGGGTAATATTAAAAAAAAGCGTTTGAAGTAAAACATTAAAAAAGAATGTACATCTATAGTAAATGAAATTGTGGAAGGTGCTTAAAATACAGTACATGAAAATATGAGTAACACGTTAATGGTCTACTGTTTACTAACAGTCACCAGCATTGTCGTGTTTTTTTTTTCCCTGAAAAAGGAATGTTGTGGTTAAGCTGTTATTTTGCTTAAAGAAAAACAGAAAATCTATACTCTCTAGTTTCCTTTTAAGTTATCTTGTTATTGTTAAGTTTCTTTATTACACATGTAGCTTCCCAATACATGTAGACCATGAATAAGACATTGATTCACATACAGTTAGATCAATTCTGCAAATTTGTAAACAGCTGGACTGTATCTACAATATGTAGCAAATACAACTACTATTAGGCAAATACAGTAGAAACTGTAGATTTAAGGTATTCATGTTTATGTTTAGTGGAAACCTTAACACTACAAAAAAAATGAAAAATACAAGATACCTTCTTTTAGTAAACAAGAATCATCGAGGGGGGTATTGCACACTGGTAGTGGTGGAGGGAGTCCCTATTACCCACAAAGTACTTTGTGTTGAGTGTCCAGAAATCGCTACATAAATGTACGGAATTATTATTACTAAAAACTAGACAATTATGACAATGAATTGTGAAATACAAATTGTTACACTTTTTTGAGTTTTTTGTTACATTTTAAATGAGAAGCCACTGATGAAACAAAAGGAACTGAAAAGAAGTGAATCAGACATTTTGGACAAATCAGCTTTGCTTTCTTAAGTCATCATATTGTAACGCTTACGGCCGACAAGCACTGTGTGTAAGAGTTGGCGTACCAGAGCGGGTGACGTCACCGCCCTTCCCTGTGATAGCAGGACCACAGCTACTGGGCTGTAGAGAGATCTCTCTTTAGCTCACGGGGCTAGGTCGCTGCAGAGAGACGCAGAAGTCCCGGGTTCGAGCCACCTATACTTTGGGCCGACCAGATGCGGCAAGGGCGCCCGCCTGAGCCCCCGTTGCGTTACAATATTTTGCATGTCAGTATTTTTTGCAGTTGCAGAATTTGCAAACACCTATGCCTTTGGTGCTTTGGGGTGAAAGCTTAAAGAATTTTTAAAATGGTAGATTCAGAAGAATAAGAAGAATAAAACTAAAACAAATGGGCTTTCAAACATTTTCCAAATCAGGTAAATTACTTCCCTGGAGAGAATTACATAATGTGTATGTATATAATTATACTTTTTACTTTTTATACTATAGCTATCAATATATTGCCTATTAGGTCTAACAGATTCTGCAAATCTTATTATTGTATGTAAGGGTCTGTACATGCACTAGATGAGGCCTTCTACATCATCATTTTATATTCTAATGACTCATTGTCAATTGCCCACAACATGGAAAATGTAATAGCTGAGGAAAAAAGTTAATGCAAAGATGCCATTAAAATAAAAACATATTTTAGAGCCTTTCCTGAATGCCTTATTCCTAGTAATCCATGTTTTGCGCTTTGAAAAGTATATTTTGAAAAATAATCACAAGGTATTTTATTTGGGGAATTTTGTTACAATTAAAAATGTCACGGAGACATAAAAAGTCTTGAAAACTTGAAAATAAAATCTAAAGTGTTTGTATATATTACAGTATGACAATGAGTCCTCTGTCATCTTCAGATGGCAATGTGTAGTCTTGTTTTTCCAATATTTTTATTAAAGAGAGAAAATGTTAATACTATTCATGAATTTAATTAAAAATTGCTTACACTTATACACTGTAGCACTTTTCTGGACACTGCACTCAAAGCACTATACATGTAATGGGAACTCCCCTCCACCACCACCAATGTGCAGCACCCACCTGGATGATGTGACGTCAGCCATAGTGCATCAGAACGTTCTCCACACATCAGCTATTAGTGGGGAGGAGAATAAAGTAATGGAGTCAATTCATAGATGGGGATTATTAGGAGGTCATGATTGGTAAGTGCTAATGGGAAATTTGGCCAGGATGCCAGGGTTACATCCCTACTCTTTTTGAGAAACACCCTGGGATTTGTAATGACCACAGAGAGTCAGGAGCTCGGTTTGACGTCTCATCCGAAGCATGGCACATTTTAACAGTATAGTGTCCCCGTCACTATAGTGGGCCATTAGGACCCACATAGACCGCATGGTGAGTGACCTCAGATGGCGCCACTAACAACTCTTCCAGCAGCAACTTTAGTTTTTCCCAGGAGGTCTCCCATCCGGGTACTGACCAGGCTCACACCTGCTTGGTTGCCGGTTGTGAGTTCCAGGGTGATATGGTTGCTGGCTAATGGCAAATTATTAGCAATCAATAACTAAACAAATAATGTGTGAGGCAAATGCTAGACGAGTAGCATATTTTGATCTTTTCCGCACTGCTCTTTAGAGCACAGAGTGCTCACATACTGTACAGTCGAATGAATGAAACAAAAATGTGAGAAGGGTTGTGTGAAAATAATAATTATATTGAAGTATGTATTAATTGTAAGTACTCTGCAATGAAACAAACAACATGATTATTTCAAATGTAGATCTTTAAGAACTGTTTTATTTTTGTATTTTTTATGTAGAAGGTTTTGAGTGCAGGACACCCACCTTATAGTTTCTTGAGCTCATAAGCTTTCATGAACAACAAAACATCCATAAAAAATTTATTTAGCCAAATTAAATTGCTTTCTTATTATAAAGTGGCTTACATTGGGTCAATGTTATTTAAGAAAGAACCAGGCTAGAAAAGTTGAAGTATGCATTTAATATGTATCTTCTTATGGATATTAATGTATTTATTTAGACTTTCACTGATATAATGAGTAGGAGAATAATAGCACACCATATTGTGTATGTTAGTACTCATACAACCTGATATCTTTGTGTTTAAAATGTCTCAGCCTGAGCGCTCAACCATTATGTATACAGAATAGCTTGCAAAAGTATTCAGTCCCTTCCTATGTTGTCTCATTTTGTGAAATTACAAAATGATACATTCAGTACACATTTTACAAAACCTGAATGTGCAAAATGTAGACTTCTAAGTTACAGTAAATATCAGCAAAAAAAAAATCTCTTAGTCATATATTCAGTTTTCAGACCTGTGAACTCGATATTTGGCAGCAAATACAGCCACATGTCTTTTGGAGTATGTGTCTATTTATCTATTCTATTCTATTATTTATTTATTTACTTCTTTTGGTTTTTTTGCTTTGTTTAAGTGAAGTATGATGTGTTTTTAATAGATTTTATTTACTACTTCAAAGTTTGATGACTGCAGTCTTTAAAACAATAACATGTAAAACTTCTACAAGGGTCTGAAAACATTTCCAGGGTGCTTTATAAATACTAGGATTCAGACACTAAAAAGTCCAATATTGATTTAACCTCTTCATTTTTAAATTTCCAGTAGTTTCCATTTGACCCAGAAGTGAGGGTCCTTATTTCTCTAAGTAACTAAATTATAACAATACCAGAGGAACACTCTCTAGAGGCTCTGTCAAAATGATGCTCACAGACGTATGATCACAGGTTCAGGCCTGGCTCATGTACTGTAACTAGTCTACTGTTACTGTGATTCCCTGAATGTCCATACCCAATTATATAATGGATCGTGTGCTGCTAAGAGTAGGGTAGGAATTAGTCAAACAAGGTCTCTCAGGACAGTGACGCATTGACCTGTGCAGGATTTGGGCATTTTATTGTAGGGCTGTTGGTGAGGAACACACCTTTCCCCCAGATGGGATAAACCTTCAGTAAGAGGGCTGTGGTGCCTGTGACATGTTAAAAGATGAGTGGTTTGCAAGTGAACACGGAGTAGTTGACTGCATACATTTCCTCATCTCCACTGTTTATGGCCATTGGATTCTTAACTGCAAGTCTAGACTTTTAAACACACATACAGTTATTACAAATCAGAATTAAAAGTATAAAAATTAATTGTTGATTCTGAATTAAAAATTAAATAATTTCATGGAATCTCCTATGGACACTACCAAACAGAATTAACACATATTTTACCCTAGTCCCTATAAAATCAATTAATCCTTATAAAAAATTTATTGTATGGAAAATTGTTTGTTCGTAGTCGTTGTCTGCCGATTCAAATGGAATGTAACGCGGCACACGCAGGGAACACACATGTACACAGGGAGCCCAAATACAAACACACTACAATAGCCTGTAACGCAAGTACAGCAATACAACCAATACAGTAAATCAGATT